AAAATATTTACTGCATTGAAAGCATTTTTGATTCTTACTTGATTTACCTCTATTACATGAAGGAGATATTTTATTTTTTTAGACACATTTTAAATATAGTATTGTAAATTTAATACAGATATTCGACCAATCAGAATTCAAGATTTGGTATAATGTAAAAATTAAAACAATACAACAATAATGATTTATTAAAGAAATCACTTGTAATTAATTTTTTGTTTATAAATCTTTTTTTGCATTCTAATAAAAAAATTTTTGGTCAGAAATATTTCATTATTATTCTTCCCTAACCCTGATATAGCCCTGACTTTAAATCTAAACTAACATGCGCAAAGGGTTTGTTTGATTTCTATATTATATGATTAGGATCAAATACTATTTTATTATAATCATAACAGATAACATATTATCAAATCTGTAACATAATGTAGCTAGTAGCTAACATTGTCTAAGTTGCTAATATTTCTTGAGTAACTCTAATTCAGTATAACTATAGTACGTAGCTTTACTAGGTAACTCAAACTGGATTATAATATTGTATCTAAATGACTGAAATATGATTAATTTACAGAGAAACCTGACCTGGTCACATTATATATTTAACAATATGTTATCTGTTATGATTATAATAAAATAGTATTGGATCCTGATTATATAATATAGAAATCAAAACAAACCCTTTATGTGTATTAGAGTTAGAGTCAAGGCTACATAAAAGTTAGAGAAGGATAATAACGAAATGTTCCTGACCAAAAATTTTGCAAAGAATTTTTTTATTAAAATGTGAAAAAAAGTTTTATAAATGTAAAATTGATTACAAGTGATTTTTTTAAAAAATTGCTATTATTGTATTGTTTTGATTTTCATATTATATCTGATCTTGAATTCTGATTGGTCAAATACCTGCGTTAAATTACAATACCCTATTTAAAATATTATAAATACAATGTAGTGAACATTTTAAAGATCTTAATGGACATATTAAAAGGATACATAAAACAAGACAAAAAAGTAGAAATACTAGATTTTTTAATAAAACCTAAATTATTAAAAAAATTGATGGATATTTGAGGATTCTCTGTAGTCAAAAACATCAAACACCTGAAAACAGATTTATTTTTGATGATAAAATTCAATGGTTCAGCCATTTAAGAGAATCCACTAAAGCTATGAATGAAGATAATTACTATCTTTCAATTTTAAATTGATTTATTAGGATTTTTATAATTTTAAAAAAAAGAGTGATGATGAAATTAAAAGGTGTAGAATTTTTTATCAAAAATTTTTTTAAAATAATATTTTAAGTAAGTTACTAATTAATATTCCTTGTTTAGTTTATGTGAAGAAGTCAGACATCTTAAAGAAGAACTTAAGAATATTAAAAATAAAATCAAACTTCTAGAATGAGAAAATGCTGCAGATTCAGATTTGAATTCCTGAAAATTACAACAGATAGAAATTGACATTGTTCAAAAGAATTCAGAAATCAATAATTTGACAAGAGAAGTCATGAAACTGAACTTGGCCAATAAAGAAAAGATTAACTTGATCAAAAACTTAGAAGCTCAAGAATAGTGATAGGCAAATCATGGCTTTCCAAAATATCCTGTGCTGAATACGGGTTATGCATGTGATCCACACATGATACACAAGATAGGATTACATTGTAGGTTTCTTAAAATTATATTAATATAGGCCAGCTGGCCTGAATTTGGAATTATATTAAAAATCCTGCGTGGGATCCAAAAAATCACGCGCATGCCCATTACTACTCAAGAAGCTCAAGTAAATCTCTCTTTTTTTTCAAGATTGTAAAATTAGCGAGTGACCAAATTATTAATTATATTTTTATTATTATTTGTAGATGTGTGATGAACTAGATGATGGAAAGAAAATATAAAACTTTAATAGCACAACATGAAAGCGAGCTAAAAACAAGAGACGAAAAAGAAACCAATCTTTATTTACAAATTGATCTTTTAAAAAACAGGGTCAAGCACTTAGAATCACTGTTAGGTGTCAGAACAAGAAATTACAGAGCAGAACCATATCAAACTAGTCATGCTACGACTGATACTCAGAGAACAATTGATGATTCAATTAATAGTGATCGTTAATTAATATTGTGTGAAATTATCTCATTTGAATGAAAATAAAATTTATAATTTTTGCAAATTTGAATAAAATAAAATAACTTGGGTAACATAAATAAATACTACGCAATAACATTCTAAGAAAGTTGTAGCATAAACGGAATTTAATACTGCTAAGAATAAAAAAAGTTAATGTTCAATTCATCACGTTATTGTAAAAGGCTTTGTTCGATGTTTCATTTTTCGTAAATGTACTTTTCAAATAAGGGAATAATTAATTTAATTTATGCTATCTTCGCCAACAGGGGGGGGGACGTACCCGATTCAAAGTGAATCCCACACACGGTGTGATCAATTAAAACTAAAATAAATAATTTTAGTTTTAATTGATCACACCGTGTGTGGGATTCACTTTTGATCGGGTACGTTTCCTCCTGTTATTATCTTCGCCGTGGTTATTCGTATTACCTATGTCGACAACTAGTGTTGTTAGGCAAAACTTAGAGGTTTCGCCAAAGGCAAAAGTCTCGACTTTTGCCAAAAAAAATTAAAAATAGCGAAATGGTAAAACTAGCAAAACTGTCGAAACTGTCGAAACTGTCGAAACTGGTGAAACTGTCGAAACTAGTAAAACTATTGAAACTGGCAAAACTACTAAAGGTAATAAAACTTGAAAAAGTAAAATTAGTAAAAGATAAGAAAATTATAAAAGAAACAATAATTGAAAGATTTATTTTTTTTATTTTTATATATGATAAAAGAAAGTATTACCAATTACAGAAATCATAAATAGATAATTTTATTATTCTTTAATTTATTTTATTAAAATTAATTAAATAGAAATAAAATTAAATATTTGAGGTTTTAGCTAAAGAAAAACCTTAAAAACTAAACTTGCACTATTAAAATTTTATAATACAAACTAAAAGCTTTGTTTTTTTATATCTTAATAGCTTTTAATACTGTACAATCAATTGATGTTTAAAAATAGCCAAATTTAATATCATGGCATTATAGAAAAAATGGTTCGTTTAACATCTTTTATTGAGATTTGGAGATTTCTTTTTCTCCAGAAAGTTTCACCTTCATTGGAGGTTTTTGCTAAATATTTCGCCTTTCATCACATGTTTCGCTTTCATCTAGGGATGGACAAGTTCGGTCCGGTCAGTCATGATCTTAATAGACTGGTTCATTAATTTTTTTCAGTCCAGTATCGGTCCCAAAATGGTCCTTAGCTATTTAAGTTAGCAGAGAGAATTGAATCATATGACAATATTGATTATGTAATATAGCTTTTTTTTAATTGGTTATTAATAAAGACTGGTCTGGACTGGTTTCAGGACCAGGGACCAAATAACCGTGAGATCGGTTAAAGACTAATCCTTATTATTATTCGGTTTTTTAAGGACCTAATCCATCCCTACTTTCATCAGATGTTTTAACTTTGTCAGGGGTTTCGTCTTTTCTTTGTCCTTAGTCATTTATGTAAAAAAAAAGGTTCGTTTAACAATTAAGTAACACCAATATATTTTGTATAATTAGTGAAATACTGTAATACTCTAATAAATAATTTTTTTTTAATTACTGTATAGGAACACTAATAATATTTTACCAAAAAAAAATTTTTTTGAATATTGAACATTATATAAATTTTTTTTACTACGTATTCACAAATTAATAATATTTTCATGAGAACTTTGAAACAAACATTGATTGTGATACTGATTGTCATATTGGGACTACGGTGCATAATAAACTAATTCTGTAATTAAAAATTATATTTTTTTAAAAAAAAGACAGTAACTACGTATAATAATTTAATTTTTAATTCTTTAATCGATCTGGCGATTAAATAAATATTTGCATTGTTAATAATATATTAGTTTTAGTGCATAAAGTTCCAACGTTAAGCATTGTTTACGTATTATATAACTTATATAGAAAAAAATTTTTAATCTTTTGTCGGACAAAAAAAAAAAAATTATATATATAGCTTATCGCAACTTTCTGTTTTTATGCCGCCATAATTATTTTCTACGTATAAACAAGTCAATTTATTTTAAATCGTATAAATTCTTATCTAACCTTAATTTCTTAATACGTATTACATATTCAGATTTTGCTCGAATTAAATATTATTTGTAAAAATAAAATAAATAAAAATAATCTATTACACTCGAAAAATTATATTACTACACACTAGATTTTGCCTAAAATACGAAGTTAATTCATTATTGTCCGTTATGAATATAATATATATATTATAATAAATAAATATATATATAAATATTATAATAAATATTATTAAAAATATTTATAAAGGGATTGAAGATTTTGCCAAAAATACAAAGTTAATTATTGTCCGTTGCGAAGGGGTTGAAAATTTAATGTTCTACTATTATATATCGCCATAGGATTAATGGTTCGACTTTCGAGTATGGATCTTCCTCCTTTAGCTTCGAGAAATTGTTTTGAAATCATTGAACTAGGATCATTCTGTATAGATTCTATCCAATTGGTCAAATTATTACTTATTTCTATTGCATTCGGACGCAATTCTGGATTTGGATGCCAGCATCTTTCCATTAATAATAAGAATACTTCTGGAGTATCAGTAATGATTTCTGGTCTTAAACCATCATATATGCGTTCTGCAAGGTTAAGGTCGTGTGAATCTTTATTAAATGGGCGTTTAAATGTAGATAACATCCACATTATGATTCCAAAACTATATATGTCCGATGCCTGCGTATACTCTTTACCTTTTAATACTTCTGGTGCGACGAAAGGTAAGACACCATAAACACCAGAAGTAATTCCATCAGCTGGTCCGCGTAAGCCAATATCGGTAATTCTTATATTTTTACCTGAAACTAACAAGTTACCACCGTGTAAATTGCCATGATAAAGACCATCTTTATGTATTTGTTTAAGACCATCTATTATATCTTGAAGCATAAGGATCACATTCTCCCAGCAAATATTTTCCATAAAATTATCAATATATTGATACAAATTTCCGTCATATAACGTCATAACGAAAATGATGCAACCTGTAGAGTCTCGTGTCACACCAAAGAAATCGGCTACGGAATCACCATATAGATACTGATGATGTTTAAGAATCTAAATAAAATAGGTAAGAAATAAATTTTAAATAAGATTTTAAAATTTTAAAAATATTTAAATACAGTATAATAAATTATATTATTAAGATGCTAACTTTATCAAAAAATTCTTTACTTAAAGTTTGAGAATCTTCGAATTTTTTTAATGCACATTTTATTGGACCATTCCTAATCCAATCAGTATCTTCTTGACACCAAATATTTCTTGGACCATCAAACCAGATTGAAGAATAAACGGAGCTAAAAGAGCCACTTGCTATAAATTTAATACATGTATGATCTAAATTATCAAATGGAATCCATTCAAGATAACCCATACATTTCTTCGCGTCGAGCTGAGTGATTTGAATAAGTTCATCCGTTTTAATATCATCACTGGTCCAATTCTTAAAATTCTGCCTAAGCCCTTCATTTTGACATCGGCAACACCATGAGTGGACATTAAGAGCTTTTTCACATTCAACACACGTAGCTGATGGTAACTCCATTCTTATAAGGTCTACTAAAAATAATAATTTTTTGAGTTTAAAAAAATTAATAATTAAATAAAATTATAATTAAGGATTCATTTTGAGAGAAAATTATAAATTACTTACAAGAATACGTGTAGAGTTTTTTTTTTCAAACACTTGATTTAAGTATTTATAGCAAAAATAACTCATACGTATATTGTATTTAATTGTTTAGTGAACGTGTTATATATTTGGAATATTATGGGTGGGTTCATCTCGTTGTACTACATATTATTTTGCTATTAGAATTTTCCGAGGAAGATCTGTAAACTTGTGGGGGTGGCTTGAATTAAATGTTTCATCAATATCCCCCCCAGCATATATGTGCTATACATAAATAATAATTAACAAGAACTGATTTTATTTTGTAATAGAAAACAAAGCATTTTAGTACGTATAACTTTAACCCGAGCAACTAGAATATCATTTTTGCATAATTATTTACTGAATGTCGCGTGATTCTTTCAGCAGGGTAAATAATGCTGCAATAAATTAATTTTACTTCGCCTCCTCTTAAAGAGGAAGTAGAGATACCTCGTGAATTCAGTACGTAAATAATGCTGCAATAAATTAAATTTACTTCGCCTCCTCTTAAAGAGGAAAGAGATACCTCGTGAATTCAGTATGTAAAATTAATGGAGGGAATTCATCAATACGTATACTTGTATACTAATATTTCTTTTTATAGTGACAGGTATGACAAATAGTGACAGGTATGACAGGTAACAATTTTTATGACAAATATTGCATAATAATAATCATTGTTATTTGTTTAGGCCGACAGATTGGTACGTAGAATCCTGTATCGGTGAATGTGATTAAATCACGGGAATGAAGTGTTTTCGCGCTTGAATATTATATAATCATGATTGGCCTCAAAAAATGGAAAAGCTTTTTTTTTTTTTTTACAAATAAATGGTCAATTAAATTTTTTTTTATGAGACCGAGCAAAGAAAATAATAACGCTTCATTCATAAATTAAAGAACATACTTCATGAAATATTTACAAATATTAATTACGTATGCATAACATAAGCCAGATTTAAATCAATGTTAGATTGTGCTGAATCGTTTACCAGATAATCATTTCATAGTATATAGCCCGATTTAGAGTTAATTTAGGGATTAGTGCTAGCCAATTTTTACGTAACCTAAAAAATTTATAAGAATTTATTATATTTATGTGCGAATTCAAATTTTTTATATATTAGAAATGATTTTAACATATAACCATGAGAAATAATTACCTTTTTTGCTGTACACAAAAAAATTTTCTAATGAATTTGTAAATTTAAAACATTACACAGATTTTTGATATTGTTCTCTGAGATAATTTTGCACTCCGAATGCTAAATTTAGATACTGATTCCATATCGATATCCAATAAATAAAACATATGATTATGTATTGCGCGGAAAATTTTACCGTTATACGTATCTACATTTGGCTAATTATACAAATTTAGATCTATTTCTCCAAATTAGGTCTTATTTTATTCATTATCGTTATATCGTCTCTTTCATAATTTTCTATAAGTATACGTATACATAAACGTTGCAATAAATTCTTTGTTTCAAAATTACTTTGTATAAAAAAAAAAAAAATTTATCATTCAAATTACTAAATACAGTTCAGATAATATGTTTCTATTCTTTTAGACTGGTCTAGACCAAATATTCTATAATAAGACTCAAGATAAGTTGCATTAAATTCTATATAGCCGAATATTCAAATTAACCCTATGATAGTTCTTATACTATTTTAAGTTAATTTTCTACTTTCGTAATTTTTAGCAAATTGTACCCAATTCCTTTTTATTTTTAGTGCTTTAATTATTAGGTCTTATATTTTAGGATAAATTTAAAATTTTTTTAAATTTTACGTATAAATTACAATTATGATAAGATTACATTTATAATAAATTATAATTAAAGTACTTCATTAATCCTTGTAAAAGTGCAAACCCATCAAAAGAAAATGTAATATTAAAAAAGTAGATCATTAAGAGTACGAATTCTTAATACGCCTACAAATGTAAACCCTGTTTAAATTCTTTATTTCCAAGATTTATTACAGCCTGCGGTAATGTCAAACCCTGTGACTTGTGAATTATGAATCGTAATTGCCCAGGCAAAACATAAAAAAAAACTGCATGCGAGAGCAAGTTCCTGATTTTCTCTCCCAAGTGTATTTAATAGGTCGAATTGGTACTACTTTATGGTTCAATATAAATAATGTTGGACCCGTATACTTATCCATTTGGTGGCGAAATTATTTCAGTTGTCGCTCAATTCCCCGAAAACTACTTACCCGACAGTCCATTTACCCGATATCACATAGGGTGACAATTTAGCATTTAGTTAGCTAGCTATAGGTATATTTTATTAGTAAATTTTCACCTCATGTGATGTCGGGTAAATAGACTTTAGGATAAGTAGTTTTCGGGGAATCGTACCATAACCAATTATTTCACCACTCTAGTTTTATTTCACCAGCATCTTTAGATTCATTTTTTTTATAAGCTAACCGTTGTTCTTAGATCATTAAATTTCGTTTTCTTCTACTGTATTTCGTTATTTACGGTACCGCTCACTTCACCGACAGTCATTTCACCGAAAGTTCATTTAGCTGACATCACATGGGATTATGGTTAGGGTTTTATTAGTTTCAGATACGTATATATTTTTAGTAAATTATCACTTGGCGTGATATCAGCTAAATGAGCTGTCGAAATGATTGTCGGTGAAATGATACGGATCCGTTATTTATGGCTATTTTGCTCAGGTATGTAAGTGTGCTTGCATTTTAAAAAATTGGAAAAGAATTTTTATTATAGTGAATTATATCTAATATATAATATAATAGAATCGGTTTTATTAATGATTAATTTTTGTTGATGTATAATTTTGTTATTCAAAAAGTTATATTTTGCTATCGCTATATTTTTTATTTAAAAGCTAGTTTCTATAATTTAAACTAAGATTTAAGTATCCAGTTATTGAACCTGATTTAAGCTCAATTTTCGAATGCTGAACCTAAATCAGGGTCAGTTGAACCGGGAGCTGATCATTTTGAAATTTCATAGAGTAATGCTTTAAGGCTTTCACTTCGCTCCCCTTAGCTCCAGCCAATAAGTATTTTAAATTGGCAACTATGCATCAATGATTCTCTATATTTTGTTATCTTTTAGTACAAATTTACAAAGAATAATTCTTACATTTATTATTTTATAATTTATACTGTAAATGACTACTTTCTGAGTATTAATCTTTCATCTTTGCTGTTGATACAAAATTTCTTTAATCACACTAACTCTAATAATTAACTTCATTTAATTATTATTTTCAGATCTAAGAATAATTAGTATCTTGAGAACCCTCTTATATTGTCTTGTTCACATTACCAGTAGATATTTATTTACTGTAGTAATTGTTATGAAAATTTTTTTTTCATCTGTCTATTTTATTACTTAACTTTATATTTTCGTAATTAATATATTTTTTTTATGGGAGAATAATTTTGTAATAAAATATGGTAAATATATTTAAAATTTGCCTATTATCTAGTAAATAAGTGAAGATTTGTACTACTGTATATTTTATAATAAATTTCTCAGTAAATATTTCATTTTTTGACCAGTGTGCAATATTTAATATAGTAAAGGCTTTTGTTACAGTATTATTTAAGTGTTGCTCCCCGAACCAGACTACAAAATGACATATGAGGACTTATAATGTAAGTATTTTATCCTAAAGTGTTTATCTAATTGGGTTATTTAAGAAGGTGAAATATTTTAAAATATTGGTTTTAGTTCATATTCTTAAACTGCATATTAAGATGATTTCTTTACGAAAATACTTAGTATTATTCCTTCTATGACAAGGTATGAATATCACTATTACATTAATAACTCCATAAGCTCATTTCGTGATGCTAATTAGATGTATACAGATAAATATCATCGCATTAATAGGCGCCAGATACCGTCTGTACATAGTGTTTCGCATTACCTAATGTTTTAACTAAAGATGCTGGTGAAATATAACTAATGTGGTGAAATAATTTTACCACTATTGGTGAAATTGGTGAAATTAATTCACCAGCATCTCCAGTTTTAACTTCTCGTCATAACAAAAAAAAAAGATAAATACGTAGATATGCGAAGTACATACGTATAGTTGCCTCCGAAAGAATATTTCCATTACACAAAACCAATGCTAATTTCAATTGCATAGATCATCAATAGGACAATTATTAAACAAATCAAGTCTTTCTTATTCGACATTCATCACATCAAAGTATAATGATAGGTTACATTGCTGATCTAACATTCTTAAACATTATTTGTTTTTCTCTTGGCAATTTCATTTATCCGCTTATATTAGATTAATGCATGTATATCTATTACATTGATATTTTAATAAAAATAAAAATAAATACAATTTATTATCTACATAATTAATAGAACTAGAAATTGAGAAATTTAAAATGTTTTCGAAATATTAACCGATTTATAGAATTGGATAGTTATAATTTTTATCACTTACTATGTGAAATCTTGAATTTTCACTATCAATTGTATATGAATGTTGTTGACTCCGCCAGAACGACCACGGAAATTTCAAAACATAATAATAATAAAAATAAAGTGGCGGTCGATGCAAAGGATGAAAATTTTTTATTTTTAATTATTACCACAACTTTGCATTGAGATTTTTTTATTATCATACTTTCGAACTTCCTATGGTCACCCTAGCAGAGTCAATGATGTTGAAGGAATACCAGACTTTACTTATATAAAATCGATAATGATTAAAAGTTGGTTTTCTCTTGCGTTCATCAAAATGATAGCATAGTCGTACGGTGTGAAGGGCTCCGGGGCACCAATCGACCTTTTTTTTTTATATATTATTTTTTATATATGTTATTATTATTATTATTCATTTATTTTGTATTTAGCGATAGTGTTATTTGTTTTTAGTTAGTCTCTTACCTTATTAAGTAGGACTCAAAGGCTGGGATAAATGCATTTCGTATCATAATAGCAATGTAGATCATGTGCTAATCGGCCATCTTTTATTGGTTAGCGTCCAAATTTTGGAGCATGCGTAATTACACTATTGTTTTACATATATAAAGGCATTCTAAGATCTATTTTTCTAATCTAGGCCGTTTTTTTCTGGTTAGCTGTCCGCACTACGAAAAAACACCTCCGTGCGAAATATGACAGAAAATCTCCCACAAACAAATAATAACAATAATGATGATGCTCCTCTCACGTTGGATAATATTCAGGGAACCTCAAATAACACGAACAATACAAGTATTGCAAACAACAACATCGAACATGCTCAGGGATACAACTCAGATGATAATTCTCACGTACCTTTCATTAACAATGACATGGAGGAGTTGTTCGATGAAGACCTTCAGAATTATTGGATACCTACAGGTATTATGGCAGAACTCACCACCAATATATATAAAGGAAATTCTCTGTTACAACATGAACATCAAACATTGTTACAATCATATCCATGAAACAAGAACATTAAGTTCAACCCACTTCCCATGGATTAACAAATTATCAGTTGTATGTCAAAACAAGCACATAATACAGACAAAGTATTGTCAAAACTTGCATATAAATTCTCATCATCACTATGCCTGTTGGATTTGGTGATTAAACAGATATACAAAACTAAACTACCAGATGAGGATCAAGATGGCATTGCTTTATGGAAATATTTGGAAGAAGCCTTGTTATCTACTAGATTACTTATTTTGGATGCTTTATCAGTATTTAATATTTCACGAAGAGACGAAGCACTTAAATCATTTATGCCTAGTCATCAACTAGCTCCCGAAACAGACTTTGTTTTTGGAGAAGAATTACAAGAAATTATAGAAAAAGGGAATAGAGAAGTAAAATTTTTTAACAATGCTTTTAATCAATGAAGATGACAAGAAAATCTTGAATGTAAACCTACAAAACCTTTTAATAGCTTTCAGAGAACAAGAAATAATAAATTTTAGATACTATATTATAAAAGTTTTTCAAGTTATAGACAGAGAAATAGGTACAAGGGTGGTCTACAAATAGATTGCCTAAATTAGTAGCAAACAAATTAAATACAATGAATACAATTAGGGAAAGATTAAAAGAAACTCTTTATATATAGCAACATTATTTCCTACAACATTAGGCTACAGCAATAATTGAAAAAAATTACTATTCTATCTGAGAATGTACACCACTATTACAAATTTATACCTCTTCTCAATTACAATGAAGCATAGAAATACAGCAGGAAATTGTATATTTAATAGATCAAAAAGTTATAAAAGAATTTTCTATACACAAACCTAGTTTTATCTCAAATATTTTTTTGGTATCCAAAAAAATGGAAACATACAAACTAGTAATAGACCTATGAAAGTTAAATATATATGTTCAATATCTCCACTTCAAAATGGAAAGATTAGATCTTATAAAATCGCTTCTGTGCTTAAGAGACTATATGATATCTATAGACATCAAAGAAGCATTTCATCATGTATCTTTACATTCAGAAGCCCAAAAGTTTTTTATATTTGAATGCAATAGGAAACTATACTACTTTATATATCTACTTTTTGGGCTTTCAACTAGTTCATAGATATTTATAAAGATTCTTTGACTAGTCATAGAAATAGCAAGACAGATAAACATAAGATTAATAGCATACTTAGATGATATTCTTATTATAGCCAACTCTTACAAACAGGCAATAGCAAACAAGAAGAAACTTTTATACCTGTTACACAGATTAGGATTTAATATAAATATTGAAAAATCATAGCTAAAACTAGTTCAGTTAATAGAGTTCTTAGGATTTACCATAAACTCAAGATAATATTTTAAATACCAAATCACAAGGTAAAAGAGTTAATTCATGAATGCTCAGTGATGTACAAGAAGGAAAGCATTCATATACAAAAACTAGCATTATTAATAGGAAAGCATATAGCAGTTACAAATACTTTTCTATCTGCTTGACTACTATCTCGCATATTATTATGTGACAAAAACAGACAATTAAAACTACAAGAGTAGGATTTAGTAGTCTATCTATTAAGTGAGAGCAAACAACAACTACAGCAGTAGATAGATCAACTTACACATCACAAAGGAAGGAAGATTGTAGTAGAATTACCAAAGATGACTATACAAACAGATACATCACTTTAGGGTTGGGGAGCTATAATGAACAATCAGATAATTTCAGGAAAATAGTCAGCACAAGAAAGAAAATATAATATAAATCTCCTCAAAATTAAAACAGTGCTAAAAGCATTAACATACTAGAAAGAATTATGCAACCAGACAATTATCATAAAATCAGACTCTATGACTACAGTAGCATATATCAATTATCAGGGAGGTATAATATCTTTGAAAATAAATCAAATAGCAGAACAAATTTGGTATCTGTATATAGCTCAAAATCTTAGGATTTAGGCCTAACATATTCTCGAGAGAATAAATAAACTAGCAGATATAGTATCACAAATAGTAAATCTACAATTAGAATAGACCTTGTCGAGACTGATATTCAATATACTATAACAGATTTGAGATATCAGAATATTAATCTGTTTGTAACCAGCAAGAATATATAGACAAAGAGATTTTTTAGTTGGAGATTCGACCTCTAGGCATTAGTAACTGATGCATTCACCCAATCTTGGAAAGGATAGAGAGCATTTGTGAATCTACCATAGATTCTACTACCCAAAGTCTTAGCCAAAATCCTATAAGAGAAGATCATAGTAATAATAATTTTTCTACTATAGCACTCAGCTCCCTAGTTCTTAACATTAATAGATCATCTGATAGATATACTAGTGACATTACTTTACAAAGCAATTTATCATAAAGGGACTATACCACTCAGAAATTACAAATGGAAGATTTGCATAGCACTTGTATTAGGAGATAACTCAAAGATAAAGGGTTTTCAAACAGAGCTGCAGAATTATATATCTTATCATATGATCTAAAGGTTTCAAAAACAGTATCAGTATGTATATGAAAATAGTTCAATTAGTATGTATCAGGAAATCATAATCCTTTTGGATGCTCTCTGCAAACAATAATAGATTTTCTAGATGATTTATACAACCAAAATATGCAATATAATACTATAGCGAGTTATAGGTTAGCAATTAGTAAAGTATATGAACCTGTCGAAGAAAAAGCTATTGGTGTACATTCTATTATTATTAAAGTAATGAAAGGACTTTATAATTTAAGACTACCTAAACAAAGCCTACAGATATAATAGATATATTATCTACAATAGACTATATTCAATCACTTGACTCTAATTCAGAAATACTAATAATTAATCTTACCCAGAAAACTGTATTACTATTAGCTTTGACATCAAGGAGTTGACTATCAGATTTACAATGTATTGACCTCACCTCTGTATTTCAATTACAAAATAGTGTTTTAGTTAGCATTTAGAATTACAAAGAATTAAAACTTTCTAGAACACATAGGGGTTCAAAGGAACAATGTAAAACTCTGTTTATTGGGTCATACTCAGAGAATAAACCTTTTTGCATATTATCAGCATTTAATACATATAGATCATAGATATCAGAATAGTGTACTTCATATGAAATACAAAAATCTCTATTTTTTACTACAACTGTTTCCTATAAGCTGGCCTCAACAGACTCAATTGCACAATGGATTAAGTCTTGCTTGACTAAATCTTTAGAGGATTTAATAGCCAGAGATGTACGAGTAATTTCAGCCTTTTTAGCTCAAAACAGTGAAGCTGATTTAGCTATAATTATGGTATTAGGGAATTAGTTAAGTAATACAGTATATCAAAAGTTTTACCAAAGAGATATTATTTTACTATTACAAAAAAACAATATATCATGAAAAATAATAGATGAAGCATTATCTACTCCACAGTAGCACATGATCTATATTGCTATTATGATATGAAATGTATTTAAATAAATGTATGAGTTTACAAAATATATTTATAAATATATGAATAGAATAATAGCATTGTAGATCATTAGGACCCACTACACTACACTCTTTATACATAGATATAATAATAATAAGTTTAATAAGATGTATATAGTAACCTTGAAATCATGGCCTAGATTAGAAAAATAGATCTTAGAATGCCTTTATATATGTGCATGCTCCAAAATTTGAATGTTAACTAATAAAAGATAGCTGATTAGCATATGATCTACAATACTATTATTCTACTTATACATTTATAAATATATTTTGTAAACTCATATATTTATTTAATTTAAAGTAAAGATCATTATACACAAATTTCTAGAATTTTTATTATTTCTGTTATTCTCAAAATTCACAAAAAAATAAGAATAATTAGAATAGTGAGAATAATAAGAATAGCAAGAATAATTCGAATAGTGGGAATAATTTTTTTTTTTTTTTTTTTTTTTTTTTTTTTTACTTTATACAAATGCCATTAGCTGAATTTTATTGATTTAAATAGTGAGAATTATTACATATTGTGAGAGTACAACTAGCCACATGTACAACTTTAGATTGTCTAATTTAAGTAGTCTGTCTGAAGGTTCT